TTTATTACATTCTTGACTCTGTGATTGGTAAACTTTGTTCTCGTTTCACAGCCATTCAAGAAATCTTTGCTATATTATCTTTTTTTGTGGGAATATATAAAACTGTTTGAAGCAATGATGAATTGTGCATGCAACCATTTTTCGCCAAAGTAATAATGCGACGTGACTGAAAATAAACTGACAGAAAAATGTTTTTAACTTTAATTTTTTCAAAACCGCTTTCCCCATTCGACTTGTTAAACAAAATTTCAGAAATGAGGAGAACTCTTCAGATATTTAGTGGTTGCACTGCGTATTTTTGCTTCAATTTTGAGGAACAAAAATAAACAAGTAATTTTGCCATTTTGAGTGTCTATTAGCACAAAATCTTGATTTCCATGATGTGACTGAAGAGTTTGCAAAAAAAAAGGTAGACTACTTAATTACAATTATATATGAGAAATGTAATCAAAAATTTTGAAGAGACTTTATTTTTTAGGAGAAGGGGGAGGGAGGTTGGGACCCCAAATTGAAGGATGCTCGGGGCCCCCAAAATCTGTGTACGGCCCTGCCCTGGTCCACTGTGCAGTAGTACAGTACAGTTCAGTCCTCTATAACTACGGGAGTGTTGTGACTCGTTTCTAAAGAAGCTCAAAAAAAGTTTTGAAAAATTTAATATTTAGATCAACATCTGAAAAAAAAAAGTTTGAAATAAAAAATCTACATGATCAGCAGGTAGAAAATTACAAACATTTTCGTGAAAATTGCGAGCTCATTCTAGTAAAACGTGAATATGATCACCTTGTAAGAAATGCAGAAAAAGAAAGACAAGTAAATGATAATGCAAATTTAAAGGTAATATTAATTTACAAAATAAATATGAATTTATATTGAAAAATAGTTAATATTTTTTCATAAGATTTTGTTAAAAAATTCATAAATTTTGTCATCTCCTTATTCATCTCTAATAAATTGTTTCAATATGCTTGTTAATATTTAGTTAAAAGTAGAGACGCAGCGTGCCGAGCTGATTCGAGCATTTGAAGAATATCACCGAAAGTTCCTACCAGTAATTGAAACGGAAACGCTTGGTGTTGAAAAACTGAAAAATAAACCAAATAAAAAGACTGTAAAAAAATAATCAAGTTTTGCTTAAGATAATAATTAGTTTTGTTTGTATCTAATATTTTTCACGCCGTTAATAAAGTTAAAGACTTATCGCTATTTAAATGTTTATATAGCTAAGGGATTGTCCATAAAGTTGCGGGAGGGGGGGGGGATTGGCGACAAAAAAGCGTACGTACTTTATGGACGACCCCTAAAATGACGTTTGTTATTTAATTACCTATTTGGGATTTGTAGCTGATGATAAAATGATAAGGATTAAGGTGGTACAACTCCAAAAAAACTAGAAAACTAAAAAAATTTTTGAGTTTTTCAATTTTGCATAAAATATGTGTCAAATTAATCAAAGAACGTTTAGCCAAAGTTTCAGAGCTAAATAATTTATCTTTCTTTAGATATGAGCATTTTATTAGAACACTGTGTATCTTTTTTTCCTTAGCAACGGAGATACTAAATATTTAACATGGTTGTTAGGGCAATTTCTCCCTAAAAATAAGCTCAATTTTACTGGAGTCTTCAAGCTTTGTAAGCTTGATGTCACTTCTATGTTTTCCGAATTGAAATTCAATTAAAAGTCATTGTTCTTAACCACTAAACACGTTTTGTAACAGCTAACAGATTTGAAAGATTTGGAGTGTTATTGTTTGTTTACCCTTTGGATTTATATTATATATATATATATTATATAAATATATTTAAAAGAAATGCCAAATAAACAAAATAGTACTAGAAAGAAGAGCAGAAAATGGAATGGGTTTAAACCATCTGATATTCTTAAATCAAAACCTGCAGATCATGAGATTTCTTGTGTTAGCTCAAGAAAGTTAGATGTATCGTTCAGCTCGGATAAATGTGACTCTGACGACTATTTTATACTTATTAACTTTTTATTGTTAAAGAAATTAATTGCACACACTGTTTGCCCCAATTGCTTTATTGGAAATTTGTTAATCAAAGATAACGTTAATTCTCGCATGGGCTTTTGTCATTTACTTGAGATGAAGTGTACAAAGTGTAACTTTTCTAAAAATTTTAGAACTTCACCAAAGTCAAAGAATTCTTTAAACACAAATGAGTTTCCTATTGATACTGTATTTCCTATTTATAAAAAAGAACTTTCATCTCTAGAATCACCATATGAGATCAACCTGCGAGCTGTCATCGGATTGCGAGAAATAGGTGCTGGCCATGAGTCGATGAAAACTTTTTCCTTCTGTATGAATCTTTATTGTTTGTCGCCTAATGGCTTTAATAAGTTAAATAAAACTGCCATGTTAGTATACAAAATTGCTGCTGAGGAAAGTATGCAAAAAGCTGCTTTTGAAACCAAATCAATAAACAACTCTCTTGAAATGAAAGAAGTTAGAATTTCTATTGATGGTTCATGGCAAAAGCGAGGTCATAATTCGTTGAATGGTGTTGTAACTGCTGTTTGTAGTGATAAATGTATTGATGCAGAGATATTTACCAAACATTGCAATGGATGTAAAATGTGGAGATCTAAAAAAGGAACTCCAGAGTATCAGTGTTGGTTGGTTGATCACCAGTGTGAATCGAATCACAAGGGTTCATCGGGTAGTATGGAATCTGTAGGAGCTGTGGCTATGTTTAAGAGATCTTTACAAAAAAATAAGTTGATATATAAAGAATATCTAGGAGATGGGGATACATCTTCTTTTAATGATGTAATAGAAGCAGATCCTTACAAAGAGTATGGTATTATGCCTGTAAAACTGGAATGTGTTGGACATGTTCAAAAACGGTTAGGAACACGTCTACGAAACCTTGTCAAAGCCCAAAAAGGTACTAAAAAACCAATATCAGGCAGAGGTAAACTCACTGAAAACTGCATTAATTCAATGCAAAATTTCTATGGTCTTGCAATCAGATCTAATGTGGGAAACTTGTATTCAATGAAAAAAGCAGTTTATGCCATACTTTTCCATTTCACCAGTTTTCCTGATTCCTACACACGCCACCAGTTTTGTCCTCGTGGAAAATATAGTTGGTGCAAATACTGGGCTCTAAATCAAAAGAATTATAAACCCAAATCTACCATAACTCTGTGGATAAAAGATTTAATTCTACCAATAATTATAAATTTACAATCAGATGAATTGTTATCAAAATGTTTACATGGAAACACACAAAATGCTAACGAGGCACTTAATGGACTTATTTGGGCTCGTGTACCAAAAAGAGTTTTTGTTTCTAAATCAACACTGGAAATGGGAACGTATTCAGCTATTTTAGCATACAATGATGGTGCAAAGTTTTTTTTTAGTCAGATCTCTCTAAAACGTCAAAAAATAAATAAAATATGAGGAAAAACTACATAACTCATCATTTACTTTGATATTTAAAAAATCTATCTGTTAAATGGAATAAAATTGTGTTTAGAGTAAGTGTACAAAATTTCAGGTCATATAATGATGGCTAGCCTTAGATATTATGTTTTGAAATTTAGTCCAAAAACGCATTTTTTAATAGTTTTTCCGCCATTATGGTCCTAATGCTAATTAAAAAAAAAATTTTTTTTTGCTTTTTTTTATTTAAATCATTTGAGTAAACTGTATTTAAAAGCATTTTATTTTGGAGGTTTATTTCATTTTTTTATTTATTTGGTGTTGTACCACCTTAAAGCAGTAATGCGGCGTAAAAAGTTTTTTTTGTGTACTTTTTCTTACCTCAGGTTTGTTTCAAGAAATATAAAAACATTCATAAATTTTGGTGAAGTAATTATTTTTACTTTAACATCTCACTAACTAAATAATGTAGGTTTTTTTATGTATAATTTAGGTACCGCTATTTAATAAGTATAATTCAAATGAGAATTGATAGTCTCTGTAAATTTTTGTCTCTTGGATTTAATTTAGACGATTATTTGTTTTTCTTACTATAAAATATACATATAAGTGAACTAGGGCTGTTAGTTCGAACATGTTCAAGTTCGAACGTTCGAACTTTACGCAAAAATTTCAACGTTTTGGTTCGAACATTTTTCTCTTAATAGTTCGAACTTTTAAATTAAAAAAAAAGATATGCCTTTTCATTAATTTTTGTAAAAACAGCTGAAATGTAAGTAAAAATTATTAATTTGAATATTTTTGATTTTTTTTGTTTTATGTTTGTCTGGCAACTCTAAAAATATAATCAAAATTACATCACCTGTAGCGCCATTAGGGATGGCAAAAATCCCGGAAATTTTCAATCCCGGGTTTTCGGGGTTGAGAAATTTGTCCCCGGGAAATTCCGGGATTGAATAGAAAAAAACGCAAAGGGATCGTCCATAAATTAAGTAACGCAAAATTTCACAATAAACAAAACAAAAAAAAAATCAAAAGTTTTCCCTTTCAGAGTCTTAATTTAAATAAAAAATCAAAATAGGAAATTAAGTTAAATGAAAATCGCCGCGTTAAAGAGCTTAATATCTCCTACTTCTGTTCTTAAAATATCTTTTGCGTTGTGTAATTTATGGACGATCCCAAACGCAATTGAATACTTTTTAAGCACTCATCAAACACTTAAAAATGATAATATAACTAAAATACTTGATACATTAATGAACCTTTAAAATTAAGTTGAATCATGTTTTAACTTAATTTTGTATTAAAACTTATCTAAGACTTTTATAAATTAATAAACCTAAGTATTATAAATTATAAAACAATACCTTAAAATGGTAACACAGTATAAATAAAAATTAAAATTAAAAAATAATATAAATATGCATGACGTTAAAAAAAAACTTTCGTAAATCACGCATTTTCATAAATCACACATTTCAAAATGAAAATGAATGAATATAAAAATGGAATTAAAATCGCGCATACTTTGGAAGCAGAAAATTCAAAATTGAATTAATATATATCTTCTATTAAAAACTCTATACTATATATTATACATAGATAATATCAAAACTAGTATATTATAAAAAATAACAAAAATATAAGCGCTTGCTGGTGGAAGGAGCAAAAGTTTTTAATAAAAGTTATACATTAATTTTATTTCATTAAATATTTTGAATTTTAATTATATATATATATATATATATATATATATATATATATATATATATATATATATATATATATATATATATATATATATATATATATATATATATATATATATATGTATATATATATATATATATATATATATATATATATATATATATATATATATATATATATACATTTTGAAGACAAGCAATAATGTTTTGAGTTTTTTTTTTAGTAAAATACAGAAAAAGAGAGTTTTAAAAGGAAAACATTCCAAGGAGAATAAATAATTACACAACCAAATATCTACTATATCAAAGACGATATAAAAATTACTAAACTACAATCATGAGCTTAAACTTTATTAACTTTTCCTTTTTTTTACGATCCCGAAATCCCGGGAAACTTCGGAGACTAATCCCGGGATTTCAAATAAACAATTAGCACGAAATCCCGGGATTTCGGGATCCCGGGATTGCCATCCCTAAGCGACCTCGCATTTAAGGTATCGGTTTATTCCTATTAAAAAGTATTTAAACAGTGGTTGTTACTTTTTAACTATTTGACAACTCTTTATTTACGTTTGAAATTAAAACTATAAAGGGTTTTAAGTTCAAACAAAAATGGTTATTCAGCGTTAGCACCTTTATAAGATCTAAAGTTTAGGATTATTTTCATTTGTTCCCAA